GTTGATAGTATTACTCAGTTAATAGGACGTACCTTATCGAATGAGTTCAAATGTGTATTATAGCTTAGTTGAGATTGTCGGGCCCAAACCTTGCTTGAAGGTGATTGGGCCTCGGTGATAGTAGTCTTCGATATTGGGCTCGTGGCCCGGTAGATAAATAATTTGTAGGCCCATTGGGTTGGGCCAATTAGGCATATCATTAAGCCCCCCACTCTCGAGTCGATGTGGGGGCCATGTTGAAATGGGTTCTCAATCGTGTCGAGAGTGAAAATTGTAGTGTTCGTTCTTTGGCATATGGCCTGATGGTGTGCGAAAATGAATTGGAGCGTGTGTCGGAGGGGCGTGAATGCGCGTTGGCGCGTAGCGCGACCAAGTTGTCGCTATGTAAGTTATTTGAGTCGTCGGTGTTGTCCCGCGACGATGTAGTAGCGAATTGTCTCCTCGTGGGAGTTGTCTCGTCGTGGGGTAATATAGTTGATCGAGTTATCTCCTCGTGGGAGTTGTTTCGCGATAATGTGGTAGCACAGATCAAGTAATCTCCTCGTGGGAGTTGTCTCGTCGTGGGGTAATAGAGTTGATCGAGTTATCTCCTCGTGGGAGTTGTCTCGTGAAAATGTAGTAGCACGGAGCTAGTATTCTCCTAGTGGGAGTTGTTATTTATCGACATTGTCCATGTTTTGACGCGTTGCTTGTATGTGTTTACATATAGCCTTGTGCGTGATGTACTTGAGGACGGGATCAGGCTCTCAAGAGTTTTTTTATGGGGATCGTGCCCCTTGTTAGACCTCGTGGGTCGTAAGTATGTTAGGACCGTGGCCACGTTTTAATGAAGGACCCATCGAAAACAAGTAGATAAATTTTGAGTAATCAAGCTGGCCAGGCTATATAGATTCTCATAATATCTCTAAGTGTTTCTAGGGTTGTAATCGTGCTAACTTGAGCTTGCGATTATGTAGTGCATTGCGAGCGAGTTGTCTCTTCAAGAGAGTTGTCTTGCAGCGAAGTTGTAGGAGCATTGGATGACGCGCGGTTGAGGAGCGTGCGGATTGAGGTTGCTCTGAGCGAGTTGTCTCCTCGTGGGAGTTGTTTCGCAGCGAGTCTTATTATCGAGCGAGTTGGTTGTACGTAGGAGTTGTCTTGCAACGAATTTGTAGTGTCGAGCGAGTTGGTTCCTCGTGGGAGTTGTCTCGTTGTGGCTTCGTAGACCCGAGGGAGTTGGCTCCTCGTGGGAGTTGCCTCGCAACGGGTTATAGGACGGGGCGAGTGGTCTCCTCGTGGGAGTTGTCTCGCTGTGGTGTTGAGACCCGAGGGAGTTGGCTCCTCGTGGGAGTTGCCTCGCAACGGGTTGTAGGATTGAGCGAGTGGACTCCTCGTGGGAGTTATCTCGCTGTAGTTTTGAGACTAGAGGGGGTTAGCTCCTCGTGGGAGTTGTCCCCATCGGGCTATAGGACGGAGCGAATGGTATCCTCGTGGGAGTTATCTCGCTGTGGTTTTGAGACCCGAGGGGGTTGGCTCCTCGTGGGAGTTTCTTTGTAAGGGGTTGTAGATCCGAGCGAGTTGTCTCCTCGTGGGAGTTGTCTCACTGCGGGATGTAGAAAGAGCGAGTTTGCTCCTCATGGGAGTTGTCTCACTGCGGAATGTAGGACAGAGCGAGTTTGCTCCTCGTGGGAGTTGTCTCGCTGCTGGTTGTAGGACCGAGTGAGTTTGCTCCTCATGGGAGTTGTCTCACTGCGGGATGTAGGACAGAGCGAGTTTGCTCCTCGTGGGAGTTGTCTCACTGCTGGTTGTAGGACCGAGTGAGTTTGCTCCTCATGGGAGTTGTCTCACTGCGGGATGTAGGACAGAGCGAGTTTGCTCCTCGTGGGAGTTGTCTCGCTTTGGTGTTGAGACCCGAGGGAGTTGGCTCCTCGTGGGAGTTACCTCGCATCGGGTGGTAGTACTGAGCGAGTTGGCTCCTCGTGGGAGTTGTCTCGCAAGCCCCCCACTCTCGAGACGATGTGGGAGCCACGTCGAAAAGGGTTCCGGATCGTGTTGAGAGTAGATCGGTGTTGTAGTGTTTCTTTAATCGTTGGCATGGCGTGGAGAAATAAATTTTTTATTTATTTTCCATTTGATAGCGAACGCAATTTGGTAGGTGCATTAAAGAGCTCGCGCTATTTGGTGGAGCGCGTTGAAATTCTCTCGCGATTTGGTGAAACGAGGTGAAATCTACGCGCAATTTGGTGGAGAGTAGCAAAAGTTGTGCCCAATTAGGTGGGAGCGCGCGCTCCAAGGTGACCTTGGGAGGCGCGCGCGCGTGCTCCAAGGTGACCTTGGGAGGCGCGCGTGTGTATGGGAAGGCGCGCGCGCGTGTGATATACCTTTTTTTTTTTTTTTTTGCTTCTAGCGCGTGCAGTGCACGCGGGGGTGCCTGGTGCGTGTTCGCCACGCGCGCGTGCTGTGCACGCGCGCGTCTCCTTCCTCTTTTTTTTTTTTTTTTTTTTTTTTTTTTTTTTCTGCTGGCGCGCGTGCTGTGCACGCACGCGCGTCTGGGGCGTGCAAGCCACGCGCGCGTGCTGTGCACGCGCGCCTCCTGTCCCCTTTAATTTTTTTTTTTTTTTTTTGGAGCCGCGCGCGCGCGGCTTGGCTCGGCTGCAGCTCCTCGTTTTTCTTCATATTTTTTCTTTCTTCTTCTTTCTTCTTTTGTTTCTTTTTCTTTTGCTCTCTTTTTTCTTCTTCTTTCTTCTTCTCTTTTTTTTTTTTTATCTTCTTCTTTTTTCTTGTTTCTTTCTTCTTCTTGTTCTTGTATTTTTTCATCTTCTCCTGGGGTCTCGCGTGCGCGATTTTACCCCCCCTTTTTTTTTGTTGATATTCACCCCCTTAGGGATGTTCTATTTTTTGAGTTGGGAGATTATCCTCGTTCCTTGAGATGGGATGTGCACCCCCTTGGGGATGTTCTATTTTTTGAGTAGGGAGATTATACTCGTCTCTTGAGATGTGATGTGAACCCACTTGGGGTTGATAGGTAAGGGTGATGCCCAACCTTAGGATGGGGATAACTGCCCACTGTAGGATGAGGCGCTCGAGACCTATGGTCTGAGGTAGATGCGCACGGTTGTGCCATTGGTTCGCGCGTGCGCGTCAGACCCTTGTTTGTTTTAAGTAGGGACGTGAAACACTTGATGGGAGGTGAAACCCCTTGGGGTTGAAAGGTAAGTGGATGTACCACCCTTGAGATGAGATGCCCAACTTTAGGGTGGGATAGCCCCCCATTTAGGATGAGGCGATCACGAACCACTTGGGTGAGATGTCCAAACTTGGCGATATATGGTGCCACTGATTCAGTGACAGCACGAGTTGAATCTTCCGTGATCATACGCTGAAGGTCTTCTTCGGTTATCTGAACCGTTCGAGAAGTAAATAGACCCCCAGAGAGTCGATGACCCATGGCGAATGAAATGTTTTGGGGGCACTGTGAACCCCCAGGGAGTCGATAACCCTTGGCGAACAAAATATTTTGGGGGCGATGTAAACCCCCAGGGAGTCGATAACCCTTGGCGAGCGAATATTTTGGGGGCGATGTAAACCCCCAGGGAGTCGATAACCCTTGGCGAACAAAATATTTTGGGGGCGATGTAAACCCCCAGGGAGTCGATAACCCTTGGCGAGCAAAATATTTTGGGTGCGATGTAAACCCCCAGGGAGTCGATAACCCTTGGCGAACGAAATATTTTGGGGGCGATGTAAGCCCCAGGGAGTCGATAACCCTTGGCGAGCGAATATTTTGGGGGCAGATGTAAGCCCCCAGGGAGTCGATGGCGGTGGTGCCATAGGTGGCTCCACATGTGGAGCAGGTGCTGGTATCGCGTTGGGAGCATTTGCTCCCATCGTGGCGATATATTGGGTCACGGCCTCTGTGGCAGCGCGAGTTGAAGCTTCTGCTATCATGCGTCGAAGCGCATCCTCGGTTATTTGAACCATTCGAGGAGCAGGGAATGGTGGATCGGCGAGTGGTGGGTCCCGAGGGGGGATCACCTGAACCTCTGTGGCAGCGCGAGTTGAAGCTTCTGCTATCATGCGTCGAAGCGCATCCTCGGTTATTTGAACCATTCGAGGAGCAGGGAATGGTGGATCGGCGAGTGGTGGGTCCCGAGGGGGGATCACCTGAACCTCGCGAGGCGGATCCATGGGACGTGGAGGAGGTGGCAAGCCAGAGCCTCCACGAGGTGGGAGGTCGTTAGCTGTGTCATTTTCTCTCCGAGCAGACGCCTCAGGAGGATCTTGTTGGCTACGTGATCTGGTTTGCATCGTTCCCACAGACGGCGCCAAAATGATGATGCTAAAATGTAGCTCACCTAGGGTGGTGTAGAAAATGAACTGGGAGAGCAAAGCGGATCAGTAGCTTGATAACTTGATGATCCTGAGGTACCTGCGAAATGAGCACACGTGAACTACGCCGGGGGTTGATCCGGCGGAAACCCCTCCGACGCTCAGTTAATAGGACGTACCTTATCGAATGAGTTCAAATGTGTATTTATAGCTTAGTTGAGATTGTCGGGCCCAAACCTTGCTTGAAGGTGATTGGGCCTCGGTGATAGTAGTCTTCGATATTGGGCTCGTGGCCCGGTAGATAAATAATTTGTAGGCCCATTGGGTTGGGCCAATTAGGCATATCAATATATATATGTTTGTGTTTTTTTTCAATAGTAGCTTGCTATACATGGAATATGAAGTGAAAGTGTGCATGGCGATGATTGCAGGGATGCATGGTGCTTATTACATATTAACACACACAGATATACCTAGCTACGTGTACATATATATATATATATATATATAGTTGGAAGATGTGAAGATCAAAACAAGATCAATCAAACCATTTTGAAGAGTAAGGAGGACAAGCTAAGAAATTAATAAGGAAGAACGCGTAGGAAAGACAAAACAAGCGCACACACGAGAGAGAGAGAGAGAGAGAGAGAGAGAGAGAGAGAGAGAGAGAGAGAGAGAGATGAAACTAGCAAGGAAATATGAACCATATATATAGCATGAAACCAACAAGGTTGGAGGTGCTCTTATGCTGTTCGTGAAATAATATGTTGCATTGGGCGAAATACATCAATTAAATCCTTACCATTTACACACATATAAATTGGTGTGCAGATCAACGATAAAAATATACCCGATGTAATCTTCATTTTGACAAGTCAAAGAAGTTGGCGTGACAAGAAAGAAAGAAAGAAATAAAGCAGGGAGAAATTATGGTAATTAACATGCTAAGTCTTAGACACCTACCTACAACATAATCATGAGACAAAGAATCTTGCTAATCATTATGTTTAAGAAAAATATATTAACACCATAAATTTGAGTTATATATGCATTAACAATGTGGTGTTTAAATAAAATAATTAATTATTTTAATTAATCAATGTGGTGTTTTTAGACACCCATAAATTCAAAGGAATATGCAATGTTTGGATACATTTTGGGAGTTATTTTTATTTATTTTGGAGAAATATGTTTTTAAGAGAATAATTAAGAATGAGAGTATAATTAATGTTTGTTTATAATTTGAAATGAGATAAAATATACAGTAGTAGTCAAATCATATTTAACGGTGTTAGGAAAATGAATTGTATAGCAAGAATTTGTAGCTCCATAAATCTTTAAGGGTAAATTTCACTTCCGCTCTTGTACTTTGACTCGATATCACTTTACTTCCTCCTATTCTCGATTGCATTTATTTGCCCCGATGCACTTGAAAAACTGTCTCAATATAATGTGTCTCTCACTGTTAGTTGTCAGACATTTGACATTAACACCGTTTGATCTAAGCTCTGAAATTACCAAAACGCCATATTTCCCAGTTTAAATAATTATTAAAAGACACAATAAAATAATAATTAAAAATTGAAGACAACGAGAAAACATAGTCCACGATGTCAGCCACAATGTATTTTTTTTTTTATGTTTTAATAATTATTTAAACAAGGAGGGGTGACGTTTTGGTAATTTAAGAGCTTAGATCAAACGGTGTTAATGTCAAAAATCTGAACACTAACAACGAGGGCCACATTGAGTCAATTTTTCAAGTATAGGGGAGTAAATCGATGCAATTGAAATTAAGAGAGGATAAAGTGATATCAAACCAAAGTATAAAGGTCAAAATTGCAATTGACAATAGTTTTTATTGGGCCAAGATCCAATCTGACCAACCCATGTGGGCCCCATCTTACGTTCGGGTGGGTGATGGGTCGAGCGGAGATCCAACCAAATCTAATTGGCTACCATTTATTTTATTTTTGACCAAATTACCCTTTTCATTTTATATTTTCTGGTACTAACTGATTTTCTGCGCACACAGTTCACACACTTGAGACACAAATAAAATACCCGCCGACTCTTCCGTTCGAAAAAAAAAAGTGGTGGCTGCAAAACACCTCATCCCCCAAAAACAAAAATAAAAAATAAAAAAATAAAATCGAAAAACCCAATACTTCGATTTCCATTTCTCAGGTACTAATTTTGATTTATACTTACTGTCGGAGATCTGTTCTTTTTTTTTTGTTTTTTTTTTTTTTTATATAATTTAATTATTTATGTTTCTGAGATCTTAAGATCCGTTAACATGTCGATGTTTGAATTCTTTTTTTCACAAACCCATTTCCTATTTATTGTGTATTTATTTGTCCAATACTCAGTTCTGGAGATTTTTTGAAATATTACAACGTTGCCATTCGGGTTTTTTTTGTTTGGGCTTATGTTTTGCAGGTGAGAGATTGTTTCGTTGTCTTGTTTTCTGTTGAATTAAGGGATACGATTCCAATGGGTTTCACAATCGGTTCTTCGTCGCCCGAGATTTCGTTTCATTGTTTAGAGAGCATTATTTCACAGAACAAGAATTTGAAATCGGCTTTTCCGAAATCTTTCAGTAGGAGGCTTAGTAGTGTCTTGAATCGGAAAGATATACACGATGGGGGGGTTGTGAAGAAGGCGTGCGTACCGAGCCGTTCGGTCTCGGGGCATTTGGAAGGTTCGTATGTCGGGAAGAAACAGTTGATCGAACCGTCTTCTAAGTTGGGATTCATACGCACTTTGTTGATCGACAATTACGATAGTTACACGTACAATATTTACCAGGAGCTTTCTGTCGTTAATGGCTGTAAGTTTTCTTTCTCGTTGCAATTATCGGAATATATATAATGAATTTATCTTGGCTGATGGTTGTTGACTAAACGAGATTGTTTTAGAAATATAATATTCAGTAATCCGGTTGAGGTTATCTTTCATTTTGTTGACGTGAATTATTTCGATCATGAAATAATTGTTTGGTTTTAAAAAAAAATCTGTTCAGCGCGGCTTCTGTCGAATTGAATTATTAGAAAAGAGCAGAAAATAATTATTGTCTTTTCTTCATTACCGACGTCGAGAATCTCTTTTCGAGTATGTTATGAAATCAATTAGATAAGCTCAGGAAATGGATTTGTTTTTCAAATACTTAGTTTTTTTTTTTTTTTTTCCGGTTCTTTGTCTTGAAACTGTACCAGTGCCTCCGGTGGTGATTCGTAATGACGAGTGGTCTTGGGAAGATATTTGTCATTACCTTTACGAAGAAAAGGCGTTCGACAATATTGTGATATCTCCTGGTCCTGGTTCTCCTACATGTGCTGCTGATATAGGTTAGCTCCGAAAATTGCATTTCATTCTTTTCTTACTGTCTTATAATACATTGAGGCCTCGTTTGGTTGCCAAGATAAGATTAAATAATCTAATGAAAACCCAATTATTTTATCGGACGTCCAACAAAAAAACCCTCTAAAAGGCAAGATAAACCATGATAACATAATATTTGCAGGTCGACCTGGTAAGTTATTGGGATTACCAAACATCAAACAAAGTCCAATTATTTAGTTAATAATGACTAATCACCCCAACCAAACGAGGCCTGAGTATTTCGACTACTATGTTTATATATAGTTTGGGAATATCTTTACTGTTTTAGGAAGTTGAACGTGCATCAACCTCATCATGAACTGACTGGAAAGTGTGCCGAGGGAAAAATACGACGTTAATAACAGAACAAGTTCATTTCTATAATGTTACTACTTGGTTAATTTTTTATCGTGATTGTTAATTCTTACTTATTTTTTGCATCTCAGGAATATGCCTTAGGCTGCTGCACGAATGCAGAGATATCCCTATTTTAGGTGTTTGCCTTGGCCATCAGGTATATTTAGTCTTTCACTGACGGTAAAACATGGTCGATTCCTATGTGGTTATAGAGTTATTTAATTGCTTGATTTGTCGTCATTTTAGTTTGATTAATCAAGCATTACAGTCGATGCTTCAATCACATATTCTGACGTTCAACTGAATTTGGCGAGTGAAATAATCTACAGGCTTTAGGTTATGTGCACGGTGCTCAGATTATCCATGCTCCTGAACCCATTCATGGACGGTTGAGGTAAATAATTTGTCGTTTTTTCTTTCTTTAATTTTTTTGGTTTTTTTTTTTGGCATGCTACAGTTCTCATACAGTTGAAGGCGTTTACGAGTTTATCTATCAAAAAAAAAAAAAAAAATCGTAAAGAGTTTTATGAAGCTATCTATCCTGATTCAAAATTCAGAACCACAAAGCTATATTTATTTTGTACATAGTATTAGTCAATTAGTTGGCCATAATCACGTTTCGGCTTTCCGTGATTTTCTTTTTTTCTTTCTACAGTGATATCGAGCACAATGGCTGTGGATTATTCCATGGGGTTCCCTCTGGACGAAATTCGGAGTTTAAGGTTTGGTCAATACACTGAGATCGACACGTCTTATCCTCATTCGAATCTTAAATGACCGTTTTATGAAATTGCTTTCATATCGCTTGCTATATGAAAGCGATATTTCCATGTCGCTTACTATATCTTTTTTACTCAGACGCACTTTTTGGTTTCCGATTTAATGAAATTGCTTTTTGGTTTTTGTTTTTTGTTTTGAAATTTTGTGCATTGACCTGGTGTAGGTGGTCCGTTATCACTCCCTTGTGATAGACCCAAGCTCACTGCCTAGGCAACTCATACCTATAGCCTGGACCTCCTCCTCTGAAACGAACTCGTTTCTTGGAATCGAAAATCTTGATGATTTTGATAGACGAGCTACAAACCCCGAGAATGGATTGAAGTCTTCCAACTCACAAGAGATGCAGAGTGGAAGTATTCTTATGGGAATTATGCACTCCAGTCGACCTCATTACGGCTTACAGGTCAATGGCTATCCTAATTATAAGTTCTATGTTTTTTTTTTGTTATTTGCTTTTTTGTTTTTTTTCTTTTCCGAAAGTTAACTAGTTTCCTTTGTGTGTGGCTGCTGCAGTTTCATCCGGAAAGTGTTGCGACTTTTCACGGGAGGCAAATATTCAAAAACTTTGCTAAAATCACAAAAGACTATTGGTTAACGAGGACATCATCCTCGAACAAGGTTCATTATTCTGGTAATCTACTTGAAAAAAAATATGATGTTTTAATTAAAAAAATAAAATAAAAATAATTATGTGTTGGATAGGAGTTATGATATATCAGAGTAATCCATATGCAATGTGCTCGGTTTTCAGTCGCTCTGAGCAGTGATCTTTACTTAGCGTGCATGCAGGTGCCTAATGTAACTCGATTATTCCAAGATGTTGCAAGAAGTAATAAGCATTCGGTGAATGGACTCTATAGAAAAAAGCATGCCACCCTCTCTAACTTAGTGAATTCGTCGTATTCGAGAAATTCAAAACTTTTGAAGTTGAAATGGAGAAAAATCGAACGATCTATAAGCCAAGTTGGTGGAGCAGAAAACATATTCCGTGAGCTATTTGGAGATAATCGTGCAGAAAACACTTTTTGGCTGGATAGTTCCTCGACTGAGATGGTTTATTTCTTGTTCTTCGTCTTTTTTCGTATACTTTCTTTTTTTCATTTAAATTAAAAAAATCGTATTTACTGTAATTTCTGATGATGAACGATCTCGAATATGTAGAACAGAGCTCGATTTTCATTTATGGGGGGTAAAGGTGGGCCACTGTGGAAACAAGTGACGTATAAGTTGGCGGAGAAGAGGTTAGAAATACAATCTTGTTATATTGCTAATTTTTGTTTTATTGTTACTAATTACATCGTATTAAATTCTCTTTTTCGCCACTCGTATTAGTTGTTTAAAACGATGATCTTGTTTACTTAGAAGCTCTACCTGTGGATGCCAGTTGCAGTGATTCGAAACTTAATCATGGAGGCAATCTATCGATTGAAGACGCTGAGGGGTCCGTTACAAGTACCTATTTGGAAAACGGTTTTTTCGACCTTTTAAATCAGGTAAGTTTTTGGAATGTGCCGATTGGAAAATGGATTTTTCGACTTTCTTTTTCATAACAGGAAAAAAATGATTCTTTTGGTAGTGAAGGAAGAATAGCAGATTTTATTCTAATTCACTTTCTTCTCCGTGCTACAGGAGCTTCAGTCGTTTGGCTACAATGCAGCAGATTACGAAGGTTTGCCTTTCGATTTCTACGGTGGCTATATTGGTTACATCGGGTAAATCCATTTAAAATTCATTTTTTTATTTTATTATATAAGATTCTTCCGTTAGGAATCTTAGTATTAGAACATACTAATTTATCACTTGAATCCAGGTATGATCTCAAAGTCGAATGTGGGGCCCAGTCAAATCGCCACAAATCAACGGCCCCCGATGCTTGCTTTTTCTTTACAGACAATCTCGTCGTATTAGATCATCACACTGACGACATTTACATCACATCTCTATACGAAAATACGAGCACAAATCCATGGCTGGATGAAATCGAGCACAAGCTTCTCAATTTAAAAATTCCTCCTCTGAAAACGAAATCTGTTTCTTCGAAAAAAATTCCAAGAGAAGGATTTGTAGCCGAAAAATCGAGGGAAAATTACATTAAAGACATCGAAAAATGTCAGAAATTTATCAAAGATGGCGAAAGCTACGAATTATGTCTTACGACACAGATGACGAGAAATGTGGGGAAAAAAATAAATTCGCTGGACCTTTATTTAAATCTTCGAGAGAAAAATCCGGCCCCTTACGCTGCATGGCTTAATTTTCCGAAACAAAATTTATCTATTTGTTGTTCTTCGCCTGAAAGATTTTTACGGCTCGATAGGAATGGGATTCTAGAAGCAAAGCCTATTAAAGGTACTATAGCTCGTGGGATATCACCGGAGGAAGACGATCTGCGCAAGCAACAATTGCAATACAGGTGAGTTTTACTAATTTGTTAACAATAACATACAAATCGCCATATCTATATGTGTCGAATTTTCAGCTTTTTTTATGAACTTTTTTTTTTTTTTTTTTGTCGAGTCTATGGTTTGTTCACATATTAGTTTTTATTAGCGACCTAAACAAATCGAATAGAGCTGAACTCTCATGAGTTTCAAGCTTTTGCCAATTTTTTTATCGAGCTTCAAAAAAATTATTTGATCTTAGTTTGAGTTGCAGTTGAACATATTATTCGGCTTTAATCGAGCCGAATATAAATGGCATCAATAAAAGTTCAATTTTTATACATATTTTATCATTTTCATTCTCTCTCTCTAAACTGACTTATTTAACTGATGTTCTAACAGCGAGAAAGACCAAGCGGAAAACTTGATGATCGTAGATCTTCTAAGAAACGACCTAGGCCTCGTTTGCGAGGCGGGGTCGGTCCACGTACCCCATCTAATGGAAATCGAATCGTACGCGACGGTCCACACTATGGTGAGCACAATAAGAGGGGAGAAGCGATCGGACGTGACTGCGGTCGACTGCGTGCGTGCGGCCTTCCCCGGTGGATCGATGACAGGTGCCCCCAAATTGAGGTCGATGGAGATCCTCGACACGTTGGAGACTAGATCCCGTGGAATATACTCCGGGTGCATTGGATACTTCTCGTACAATCAAACGTTCGATCTCAATATTGTGATTAGAACTATTGTGATCAACGGTGAGGATGCATCGATTGGAGCGGGTGGGGCAATCACTGCTCTTTCGAAACCCGAGGAAGAGTATGAAGAGATGCTGCTCAAAACTAGAGCACCCACTAAAGCTGTTGTGGAGTTTCAAGAAGATAATTAGTTTTCTTGCCTCTCTTTTTTTAATATATGAAGTAGGGTGCTTAATTAAGATTTATATTTTTTCTTTTTCTTTTTTTTAATTTTTTTTAAGAGAACGACACCCGATGAGGGTGGGGTGTTGGGCTTGAAGATGTTGCCCTAGTTGAATTGGAGGAGGAGGAGGTCGACGCCCAAACCAGACCCATTTTACACGCCCAAAATGGGCGCCGAAAGATAGTCTGCACGCCCAAATTGGGCGAGGATCGAACTTGTACGCACCCATTTTGGATGTGAAAATAGTTTTTTCGCACCCGTTTTGGTAGTGAGCCACCTTTTCCAGATTTATAAAATGAAAACGAACACATTTTATTTCTTTGTATTGTGTATCTCGATTCCCAACCAATGCACTCATTTTCCTTTATAAATCGTTTCAACAGGATGAGTTTCGAGACGATTTATAATATCAAAGCTTGAGAGGTTTTTTCTTTAATAGATGAAGGGAGAGTAGTGCGTAAACTATTGCAAACTATATTCGTAAAAACAGTACCGCGTTATCAATACCCTACTAAATAGTCTTGATTTTCAAGGGAAAAGATTACTACTTTGACATTTTCTATTTTTGACTTCATTGATCTATTATTAGTGTGAGGGTTGGTGTTGGAAAAATAATTAATTATGCTTGAAATTCTAAATTAACATTTGAATATGTAAAAAAAAAAAAAAGTTTATAAGGCAAAAATGACAGTTAAAAAATTGATTGTAGATTTTTCTACAGCTACCCCTAACATTTTATTCACGTGTTTATTGGTTTGTTTTTATTGTTTGGATTTATTATTACTTTAGGCAAATAAAGAAGAAGAAAAAAATAAACGATTTTAAATGACTTTATCTTTTCTGGCAAGCCCTCTTGTTAATTTTTTTGTTTTTTGTACCCAACACATAAATCTAACAATACCAACAATTTGCAAATTCATAATAAGATTGTGACAGTTCGATCTCCTTATCTGCAATTCACAGATCTTGCTAGGGATGTGCACAACTCGGTTTGGTTTAATTTTTTTGCTAAAATCGAAGAATCGAATATATCGGATTTTGTAAAATAAAAAAATCACATATGTTGGTTTTTCATCGATTCGGTTTTTTTCCGGTTCAACTGTAATTATATATTCAGGTTGTACAAATAAAAGAATCCAATTACAATTACTTTCACAACTAACCAGTGCAATGAAAATATAAAATCCTTAATCCCATAGGACTTAAACGTAATTTAGATGATTTTTTTTTTTTACTACTTTCACCAACCACATTAATAAAACAATGAATTCAAGTAAAATTTTAGTTACTAAATAAATAAAATACAATGTCTCAAATATTTGAACAAATGCTTAGAGTGAGAAGAGTAATTGAAAGATATAAAATAAAACTTAGGACAAAATAATACATATATTACATAAAATGAAGTCATTTTATAGTTTTGGTTCGCTTCGGTTTTTCACCCTTTCCACCATACCGAACCGAATAATTCGGTATTTCAAAAATAAAAAACCGTGCATACTAATGGGCATTTGCTTGACAAGATCTTGGCTTATATTAATGCCTGGACGGGGGCCTCGCTTTCTTATGCGGGTCGGGCTGAGTTAATTCGAGCGGTCCTACAAGGCGTGGAATGTTTTTGGCTTTCTATTTTCTCCATCCCGGTCACGGTTAGAACCGCAATTATTAAATTATGCCGTGCATTTTTGTGGGGAAAGGCAGGAGCGTCCGTGGCATGGAAGAAATGTTGCCTTCCGAAGACCGAGGGAGGTCTTGGATTGAGAGAATTAGGGGCTTGGAATGCTGCCCTTATTACGAAGAATCTGTGGGAGATTCAATCCAAGAAGGACTCGTTGTGGGTTCGGTGGGTTAATTGTGTATATTTACGGCAACAATCTGTTTGGGAATGGGTTCCGGGCCGACAAGACTCAGCTTTTATTAAATACCTGGCTTCTATTCGAGATCAGATCCGATTGCATTTTGGGTCGGAGGAGTTGGCAATCGCTAATTTGACCAAATGGTATGGTCTGCCCGGTAAGGGGTCTGCCGCTGCTTATGATTGTTTTCGTCCGAGGGCTGCTCCTCGTCCGTGGGCTAATGTGGTCTGGTGTCCAACTATTACACCGAAACACTCGTTTATTCTGTGGCTTGGTATTCTGTCCAGGCTCAAGACCAGGAATCGAATCAAGCACGTGGAGGTTGAAAAGTCGTGCATTTTTTGTACGGAGCCTGAAACTGTGGTGCATTTGTTTTTCGGATGCACGTTTACTTACAACATTTGGAGCATTATTCGGGAATGGATGGGCTTCCCTCGGGCTGCAACTACGCTCAAGAGTGCTTTGAAATGGCTGAAGAAGGAGGCTCGTGGCTCATGTTGGCGGCAAAAAGCGAAGAAGGTGGCCCTTGCTTGCACCGTTTATCAGATTTGGAGTGCTCGCAATCGGAAAATTTTTGAGAACGAGACGCCTAGGATTACTGAGATGGTGCGTAAGATCAAGATACTCGTTTACAAGACGGTTTTTGCCTTGTTTCCGCAATCAGCTTTGCAAATCGTGCATCCCTGATTGTTTTTTGATCTTTGGTTTGCACTTGACCCTTTTTGATCTTTGGTTTGCACTTGACCTGTGGGGTCTTGTTCATGTATAGGCATTGATATATATTTTTTTGATTACACTGCCTGGGTATGCCCAGTGTATTTGTAAAGTCCGTTTTGATCTATATATTTCACATACCGATCAAAAAAAAAAAAAAAAAAATAATAAGATTGTGACAGTTCGATCTCCTTATCTGCAATTCACAGATCTTGCTAGGGATGTGCACAACTCGGTTTGGTTTAATTTTTTTGCTAAAATCGAAGAATCGAATATATCGGATTTTGTAAAATAAAAAAATCACATATGTTGGTTTTTCATCGATTCGGTTTTTTTCCGGTTCAACTGTAATTATATATTCAGGTTGTACAAATAAAAGAATCCAATTACAATTACTTTCACAACTAACCAGTGCAATGAAAATATAAAATCCTTAATCCCATAGGACTTAAACGTAATTTAGATGATTTTTTTTTTTTACTACTTTCACCAACCACATTAATAAAACAATGAATTCAAGTAAAATTTTAGTTACTAAATAAATAAAATACAATGTCTCAAATATTTGAACAAATGCTTAGAGTGAGAAGAGTAATTGAAAGATATAAAATAAAACTTAGGACAAAATAATACATATATTACATAAAATGAAGTCATTTTATAGTTTTGGTTCGCTTCGGTTTTTCACCCTTTCCACCATACCGAACCGAATAATTCGGTATTTCAAAAATAAAAAACCGTGCATACGGATTGCTATTCGGTACGGTTTGAAACGACTCGATTTTTGATTTTTTGGTTATGTTTTTCGATTTTTCGGCTTTTTTGCTCACCCCTAAATCTCGTGTATGTGTGACATGCTCGACCTAGTGACCGTTAACAAGAAAATTCGAACTACGATCAATTGACGCAAATTCACTTGCTCCAACCACTAGATCATCTATTGCAGGGCATTTGTAATTTGCAAACTACTTGCACCAAAACATGACTTATGCAATGCATATGTGGTTGCGTTGCAAGTTTAGTTGTTTATAATAATAATAATAATAATAATAATGAGGGCAAATTACGGCCACCCCTGAGTCATGGTGAAATTATGAAAATCCGTTTCATGTTTGAGTAATTACAGTCATTCTAAACTATTTATATCTTTCGAACATATTCCTCCAGAGGTAAATTTAGTGATGTTAAATCTGTAAAATCGAACCGAGTTTTTGATACGCCAACATTTCATACCGTTTACCGAACTGAATATACGATTTGGTTCGGTTTTTAACCAAATTACATAGATTTTATATAGAAATATTTAAAATGATGGGTGGTTGTAATTATTCAAATAAGAGGGGTTTTTTCGTAATTTAACCATTTAATAATGATGGAGAAGAGGGGTGCGCGCCAAAAAAATAAACTGCATAGTGGCACTATATATTTAATGTCATCGGTGTGTGAAATATCAAGCACTGCAAAATTCCGACTACTCACGGACCACACAGATTAATTAACCACTTTGTCAAAGAAAACGACGTCGTTCTAATGGCGTTTCCCCTACTCTCCACCCTGCATTTCCTCGAATCGCCGCCTTCACCACCGAGCCTCCACCTCCCTGCCGCTCGCCGTCGTCGCCAACCCCTACTATCCAAACGCTTCAGTGATTTTCTCTCTCTCTCCTCAATTTTCGTTTTTTTTTAATTATTAATAAAAAAAACCTCTCTCATTGTGACATCAAAGTAGACATCGTCAATTAAATGTGTACGTTAATTAATTATATATCTAGAAATTACGAGAGTACAAATAATTTATCGTCAGCTAGAAAATAATACAGATTCATTCATAAACAAATGGTGAAATAATTTATTTCACTTTGTCCGATTTAACACATGTCGGCTTAGCTAGCACAATAAATTATATATATATTTTATTTTTATATTTTCGACAGTAATTCAAAGCTCGGGTAGTACATACGGAACTCACTTCCGCGTTACGACGTTCGGAGAATCTCACGGTGGCGGTGTAGGGTGTGTTATTGATGGATGCCCTCCTAGACTTTCCCTCTCCGAACAAGACATTCAACGAGATCTCGACCGAAGGTGCGTTAATTAGCTTCGTATGAAATTTTATTTTAATTATTTTGGATATTAGTTATTACCAATAATGAATTACAAGGCTATTTAAATGTTCATGTGATTTTTTTTTTTTTTTTTTGTTTTCTTGAAGGAGGCCAGGTCAGAACAGAATAACCTCTCCTAGAAAAGAAACTGATACATGCAAGATTGCTTCAGGGATTGCTGATGGTAATTACTAATAATTAATTATTGGGTAAATTACAATTCACAATCACCCTGGATTATTATCAAATTACGAAAAAGCCCCCTCATATTTTGATACTTGTAACTTCCCCTGAACTATGAATCTTCTTACACGTCCACCCTTATGGTGTCAAATTTAACATAATCTTCTACATTAATTTTGTGGAATGTTCTCTAATTTGTATTCATTTTGTGCAAAAATACAGTTTCTGATGCACCACAATCTTATATATATAAAAGCCAAAAAACACAGATCTTATGATCATCTTGCTTCAAAATGTGGAGCTCAAATGGGATAAAACGGGTACAAAATTGAGAATATTCCATATAATCTACAAGATTCCACTAAATTTGACACCACAATGGTGGACGTGCAAGAAGATTCATAGTTGATGGGTAGTTGTAATTATCAAATTAAACATGAGTGTTTTTTTCGTAATTTGACCATACATCATATGATGGCGTTGTAGTTTACCCTTAATTATTAGTCATATTCAATATTTTGTGTACAATTAATTTTCTTGCACTTTTCACTAATTAATTAGATTAGTGGTGCATGTTTGCTATTCTAATTAAAAACGTGTTTTTGATGTACAATAGAACCTCGATAAATTAATAACCTCGATTTAATAATAGCTTCTCTCGATCCTGATTCGGTTGAAAACATGTTAAATTATTAACTCGGTAATTTAATAATTCGCTAAATTAATAGAATTCCTCTAATTCCAACTATATTAATTTATACTTTATAGAGGTTTAACAATACATATGGTTGTGTAATAAATGTAGGGTTTACCACTGGATCTCCAATCAAAGTAGAAGTGCCCAATACGGATCAAAGAGGAGAAGTAAAAGTTTCCCCCACACCTAAGAAGCATTTTAACAAACAGTTTGCATGCATGCATGCTCGCTCTATTTTACTTTAATTTCTGTATAATTATTTTGTTTGTAAACAGGATTACTACAGTGAAATGGCACTAGCATATAGGCCATCCCATGCTGATGCAACTTATGATTTCAAGTATGGCGTTGCATCTGTACAGGTACCCATATATATATATATATTAAAATATATTAAAAGCGGCAAAATCACGGTCACCTCCGAGTTATGTTCAAATTACGAAAAGCCCCCTTCAATGCTAAAATTTAGGGATGTTAATTTGGTAAAATCGAACCAAAATTTTGGTAAACCAACATTTCATACTGTTTACTGAACTGAATATACGATTTGGTTCGGTAAATAACCGAATTACATAAATTTTATATAAAAATATTTAAAAGGAGGGTGGTTGTAAGAGGGATCTTTTCGTAATTTAGTCATATCTCATGGGTGATCGTAATTTATCCTATTAAAAATGTATTTAATGTACGAGGATTAATGAATCCAGGGTGGTGGTAGATCTTCGGCAAGAGAAACCATAGGGAGAGTAGCTGCTGGAGCTGTTGCCAAGAAGATTCTACTGCAATATGCTGGGACTCAAGTAAGTTCATATATCACTTACAATTATGAGATAAGGTTAAATTACGAAAAACCCCCTCATGTTTGGGTAATTACAATTATTCCTCAATTATGAATCTACTTACACGTCAATTTTTGCGGTGTCAAATTCAGTGGAAACTTCTAGACTGTATGTAATAATTCTCAAGTTTGTACCTGTTTTATCCCATTCGAGCTTCACATTTTGAAACAAGATGACCATAATATCAGATTGTGGTGCATCAGAAATTGTAATTCTGCACAAAACGAGTACAAATTAGAGAACATTACACGGAATCTAGAAGATTAGGTTGAATTTAACACCATTAGGGTGGACGCGTAAGAAGATTCATAGTTGATGGGTAGTTGTAATTATCCAAACATAAGGGATTTTTTCGTAATTTGACATTGCCTAGGGTGGTTGTAATTTACCCAACAAAATAATTAAGGGGACGGCTAAAACAAATACCGTTTATTTCTCACTTCAATACCACCAACATAAAAAATAGAAAATAAATAGGTAATGACATTAATACCTTTAATAAAATCAATACCGTGGTATAGATTTTCATTAAGGTTAATAATGTCATTACCTATTTAATATCTATTTCTTTTTTTTCTTTTCTATGTTGGTGGTATTGAAGTGAGAAAAAAATGGTATTTATTTTAGCCGCTACCGATAATTAATTAGAAATTGTAATATCGTGTAGACTATAACTACAAATACTAGAGTTTATTCTAAGTAGTAGTACCCCGTGTTATTTTATTAGCGAAAACGCCCCTATGAAACAACATAGGGTATTTTTTTTAGCAGTTCGATATAATACATGGAGCAGTGATTGCGATAAAAACCCACAATTATTGATCACCTAAATTTTAGAATTGAGAAATGAAATCAATTTCATGGCAGATTCTTGCTTATGTTTCACAAGTCCACAACGTTGTCCTCCCCGAAGATCTCGTTAACAGTGAAACCGTGACGCACGATCAAGTACGTGTACAATTATTAATTTTGTTTTCTCTCTCTTCATTTTCTCAATGGTCCCTATGTTATAAAGTTTCTCGTAATCGTGATTTTTTTTTTTTTATATTTAATTCCAGATAGAGAACAATATCGTAAGGTGCCCGAATCCAGAGTACGCAGAAAAAATGATAGCTGCTATTGATGATGTTCGAGTGAAAGGCGACTCGGTTGGAGGTATCGTCACATGCATTGTTCGGAACGTCCCACGGGTAAACTCGCCTTCGTTAATGCGTGCTATAATTAATTACGATGTAATTTTGTCGAGTATTAGAGTTAATATTTCAAGCCCACGATGGAAAATGATCCCGAAATTTAATCAATCAAATGAATTATAATATTTATTTCGTCAAAATCAACCCCTATTGTAATACAATTCTGCGAAGGATGTTAGTTTTTTTTTTTTTTTTTTAATTGTGCGCGTTTGTTAGTATGAATGTTGTCAGCTGAACGTGTTACTAGCTACTAATGTTTCGTAAATTGGATTTAATTATGTCAATCGAATGAGGTCTTAATTTGTAGGGACTCGGTTCTCCGGTTTTCGATAAACTCGAAGCAGAGTTGGCAAAAGCTGCTATGTCCCTACCTGCATCAAAGGGAATCGACTTCGGCAGTGGCTTTGCAGGTGAAAATTACTGAAACAACAAAATTTAAATTTAGGAATAACTATATAACTTGTTTATAATTTAAGACATATTATGCACAACGAAAACACAACTAGGTACATTTATGACCGGTAGCGAACATAACGATGAATTCTACATGGACGAACATGGTCGAATTAGGACAAAGACCAATCGTTCTGGTGGAATACAGGTTTTTTTTTTTTTTTTTTTCTGAATTATTAATTAATTTATTTTTAATTTTTTCATCCGAAAGGTGAGATCTCGTCGTTTTATAGTGTATTTTTAATAAATTGTAGGGTGGAATATCAAATGGAGAAACCATCACCATGAGAATAGCTTTCAAGCCAACACCAACAATCTTCGTACGTCCTCTTTGCTTAACCGTCAGTTCGAGAAAAAAAAAAAAAACCGTGAATTGATTTTTCGATTCACGGGCTTGTTCATGGTCAAAGGTTAACCAGCTCATGGTCAACGGGTCGGTTCACGAATGTGGGGCGTGTCTAGTTTTTGCCTCGTTGGTTAATATATTTTGTTACTAGGATTAAGCCTAATTTGATTTTTACTGATCAATTCGCATGCAGCTACGTAATTATATTTTTCGTAAAATGGAAGCTTAAATTTCAAATTCTAAAACATGCAGAAGAAGCAGAATACCGTGACTCGAGACAAACACGATACGGAGCTCACAACTCGAGGGCGCCACGACCCTTGTGTAGCTCCGAGAGGTACATTAATTGAAGCATAGTTTATCTATCAAACCTTTGTCCATTCATCATAAAATTGTATAATTCTATCTTCGACAAAAAGGAAACACGATAATTCAACTTATTAAGTCCGTTCGATCGTGTGCAGCGATTCCGGTGGTGGAAGCGATGGTGGCTATGGTGCTTGTCGATCAATTAATGGCACAATATGCGCAATGTATGCTTTTCCCTATTAATCCAGCTCTACAAGAACCCTTGCAAAAGGCAAAGGTTCCCTTTTAATGGTGATTAGTAGGGGGTGAAGACACCCTTTTTTTTTTTTAATTAATATTGTTTAAATTTATTTCAAGAGAGAACTTATTTGAAGTATTGAGTATGTACTTGATTATTAATGTGTTGCGTTGCATGACAATTAGAAAGGTTCCTTATTTCTTGAAGGCTTTTTGTAATATTGTAAACTTATTTGAAGAGTTTCTATGTTTTGGAATTTTTTAAAGTAGAATTTGCATTATGCTTATATTTTTTTTTTTAAATTAAATGGATACATGATAATGCAGATTAATTAATAGTCTCACTTAAATAATCTTTTTTGTAGTCCTGGTTCGTGTACAACGTGTAAATTTAACGGTTCGTTCAATTTATAAGATGGTACGTATTTAAAAATTCTAATAAATCCCATCTAATATTATATAAGTGAAAAGCTTCTTAATATATAGTAATAATCTTGTAATAGATGGTACATTTTAGGGCTGAGCATGAGTTGAGTCGGTAATTATCGGGCCAACAAAAAAATTATCGGCAAAAACAAAAAAAAAAAAAACAGATCGAAAGTGAGTCGGTTGGCCGATAAAACATGGGTTGTCTAGGGTACGAGAGGGTTGTACTTCTCGGACCACAATTAACCAATAAAAAACTGCCACATCATATAAGTACGTACCCAGAAAAAAAAAATATGAACCCTGGTATATAAGTAAAATTACGAAAAAGTCCCCTTTTAATTAAAAAAAATTAATGGAAAATTAATAATTTAAACCTTAATAACAAATCAACAAATTTGAAATCATATTAATAAATGAAGAAAAACATTTTGTAAAACTTTAAACCTAATTCCATTGTTCTCATTTATTTATCATCGACCGTTCTTTTTCCAGAAAAGAAAAAAATCATCATCAATTTTTTTTAAGAAAATTTATCATCGATCGTTAATTCCCTTTCTAGCAAACTTCTATGGCGCAAGAAATCATCGTGTGATTCTTTTCGGCATTCATGTGTTCATAAAATTGGTGACGGCATGACTCATAGGCATTACTCCAATGTGTCTAATCGGGCGGATGATCGATCTAATTTCGGTGTACAAAATTGGTTCTAGCAATTTCATATTATTTTTGAATTCCTTAAATTTATTCGGCTGATATATGTACTCGGTTTTAATGCATGCCTAGCTATACACCCTATAGCACCCACAACATCTTCCAGTCGCTTGCACCGGATCTTTCCTATGAACTTCTTTATTGTATTCGAGCAAAGACACTTGATAGATTCTACATTGGTTTGTCGTTCGACGACATTTTGTAGCCACCGTCATATATTTCCGTTGTTTTCTCAAGTGTTGTAAATTTATGTTGCTGTTTTGTTTTCGGTTAAATAACTATATGTTGTTGGACAACCTTTTATTTATTTATTTATTATAATATTAAAATAAATAAATAAATAAGAGTTGTTTTGGTTGTTCTATTGTTTGGATTACTTCTGAACATTTTGTTAGTGTAGAAGAATATGTCATTGCAATGAATTTTGTTATACTTAATATCATAAGTTTGTGCAGAAAAATAAACCATTGGTGGACTGGAGATCTGAGAATCATTTTAGCAACCAACTCTGGACTCCTATTTTTTGTATCAGATGTACATTTAACCAACTAAGTTTTAGTCTAGTATCAGTATTATGAGAGAGACTCATGAGATCCTACATCTGGTGAAATACACTATGTGATTTTGAATCGTAAATCTACATAAATAACTATATACTGGTGTTTTATGTTATTATGTGTAGCTCAATCGACAATCATGTAAAACTATCTAATGTTAATAATAATAATAATAATAATAATAATAATAATAATAATAATAATAATAATAATAATAATAATAATAATAATAATAATAATAATAATAATAATAATAATAATAATAATAATAATAATAATAATAATAATTATTATTATTATTATTATTATTATTATTATAATAATAATAATGGTAAATTACAACCACCTCCCTGAGGTATGGTCAAATTACGAAAATTCCCCTTCTGTTTGGGTAATTACAACCACCCCTTCAACTATAAAATTTAGTGGAATCTTCTAGATTATATGGAATATTATCACTTTTGTACCCGTTTTATCCCATTTGAACTCCACATTTTGAAGCAAGATGATCATAATATGTATTTTTTTGGCTTGTATATATCAGATTGTGATGCATCAGAAACTGTATTTTTACAAAAAACGAGTACAAACTAGAGCACATTCCACGAAATCCAGATGATTATGTTGAATTTGACACCATAAGGGGGAGGTGTAAGAAAAAAATCATAGTTGATGGATAGATGTAATTATCTAAACAAGAGAGATTTTTCGTAAATTGACCATACCTCAGGGGTTGGTTGTAATTTACACTAATAATAATAATAATAATGAAATGATCTTAAAGAAAACGTGGCGAAGAGTGGTAGGTGAAGGCCAACCCTTCGTGTGGGCCCCAAAAATTTCACCCAACTATTTTTTTCGTAAACCAACTACCACATTATAAATATATATTTATATATAAATATATATAAATATTGGTATAAATTCTTCAATTTCTCGACCAGTGAAACAATTCCGCCCACTCTACTCACCAAACCAAACCAAACCACAGAGATCAATTACCAACAACCCCAATCCCAATCCCAATTCGAAGAACGGCGTCGTATCAATGGCGTCGAACCTCTCAACCAACCATTTCCTCGGAGCTCCGTCCACCTCTGCCGGATCCGCTCGCCTCGCTTCCCTCCAATCGCCGCCGCCACAGAGCCTCCAGCTCCCTGCTCGCCGATCCCAATCCAAACGCTTCGGTGAGCTTTTTTTTTTTTTTTTTTTTTTTTTTTCCGATCCTTTTTCTCTCTTAGTTTTTACTGATTAGATTTTCGAATTTCCGTCTGTTTCTTATGAAAATGTTGAATAGTGATTGTTGGTTGTTTTCCTTGATTGTTGTTGGTGTTTTGCTTGATGTGAACAGGCGGAGTGGATTTTGATACCATGTGTTTGTTATTTGATTGAGCCCTTGAATAAAGCTCGTAATTCACTTGTTTATCCTTTTTTAACAAATATCCAAATGAACATGCTTAAGCTGAAGTTTAAATGCTTGCTTGTTTAACCCATTGTAATAAGCTTGATTTAACATCACTATCTTAATATGCTCAGCTTCCATAGTTGAAGTAAATGAACCAAGTAAATTTGAAGATTTACGACCCGTTAGAAAGGTGGTCCGATAGAGTCATTGAATAATTCTGTTGATGCATTTCCCTCATTTCCATGCACGTATGAGTGGCTGCCCTTACAGAAATTGTCTTTCCTTCTAGATCAGTAGATCGTATTGCTTTTAGTAATGGGTTTATAGGAGAAAGAGGAAGAATACAATACAAGAATACTCAATACAGACATCTAGTTTTACTGGGAAACATGCTCTTGGTATGTCATTGAAAAAGGACTGTCTGATTTTGACATTAGATTATCTATTATTTCACATATCCAAATTGAAATACCCATATGTTTCCAGCAGCAACTTTCAGGATAGTTTCTTTTGAGGCTGTCTGTTGATTTCTCTTAATTGGGAAAATTCCAACAAAATGAAATGTGAAGCATCACATAGATATCCCACTTGTCAGTTTAAAATGGAGGAGTAATGCAATATTATCACTTCCGTAGTTGTGATTTTGCCTCAGCTTCTATTACATTGGATTTAATATTCTGCTAATTATAAAGCATCTAGTACACTTTGCTTGAAGAAGTTGAGTAAGTTTTGTAACTTCACTAAAAACATTCAACTTGCACTATTTTTTTTAGGATAGCAATGATAAGTTTACATACTGTTGATGTTGAATGTCATGTATGACCAATTAATAATATTTGTATGGTTACTTTATACAGAAATACAGGCCTCCGGTAGCACTTATGGAAATTACTTCCGTGTTACAACATTTGGAGAGTCTCATGGTGGTGGTGTAGGGTGTGTTGTTGATGGATGCCCGCCTAGACTTCCCCTCTCGGAAGAAGATATACAAGGAGATCTTGATAGAAGGTATATATTTTTGGCTACTGTGTTTTCTGCTCTAGTGTTGTTTGAAACCTTTTCAAGAGTGAAATATAAATAAGATAGATAATTTTATTCACTGAGATGTGGTCCTGTTGGTTAAGATATACCTGATTTTTTACTCAAGATATGGTAATGAGACCTGAAAGCAGTGACTTTAACAGGATGTGTTTTGTTTCTGATAAGTTACCACTTACCAATGAATTAGGCTGATCATGTGATTTTATTGTAAATTATTAGGAGGCCAGGTCAGAGCAGAATAACCACTCCTAGAAAAGAGACTGACACTTGCAAAATAGCTTCAGGGATTGCTGATGGTTAGTTATTCATTTCTTTCCCTTGAGCTGTTTATATTTTTGCACCTTTCATATAGATTGGGGGTCTTTGTGATTCTTAAAGCAAACTGGTGAATTTACCTACTGTAGGGTTCACCACTGGATCTCCAATCAAGGTAGAAGTGCCCAATACAGATCAACGAGGAAATGTAAGCACCTAAGATATCCTATTCATATCCAGTTGCGTTTTCTGGGCCCCTCTGGGGTAGTGGTGTAAATTAACCTAATCGAGTTGAACACGTTAATGTTTAAGTTTGTTTTTTTATCGAGTTTCAGAAATTTTGTTTAAGTTTTATATTATTATTAATTGAGTTGAGATCGAACAAACTTCAGTAGAGTCAAACACAAATTGAGCTCGATTAGCTTGAATTTCTTATACATATCTTATGTCAAATGGAAAAAAGGTGATCAAGCTGGGTTTGTTATAATAATGAACTGAGCTTAAGTGAGCTTTTAGTGATCAATCTTAAACTGAATATCAAGTAACTTGGTTTGTTTCTTAACCCTACTCTGGGTGGATGAGGTGCCAAAATGAGAGAAATAATATAAGAGTTGTTAACGGATTGGCTAGTTTATAACTGCACTATTTCAGAGCTATGGGTCTTTGGTCATTTATCGTGATAGTTGCTAGGTCTAATGTTTTAAATATAGGTCAAGTACTTCGATGCTTTGGATTCCCTGTAAAAATAATTCTTGCTCAAACCTTCAGGGAGTTATTTTAACAGACTTGCAAGAATGTTATCATGGTGCTCATGCAAATTCCTTTGTCGATTTTTACAGGACTATACTGAAATGTCACTAGCTTATAGGCCGTCTCATGCAGATGCAACTTATGATTTCAAATATGGTGTTAGATCGGTGCAGGTACTACTCTCCTATTACCCTTGATTGAACAATCGTGATATCATCTGTATCTTTGAACGTTACTTTAGAAGTTTTATGCTTAATAGCATGAAATGTTACTAAATCTTTCTTCAAGATCAACTTGTTGTTTATGTTTTGGGGTTTTGGAATCTAGGGTGGTGGTAGATCTTCTGCAAGAGAAACCATTGGGAGAGTTGCTGCGGGAGCTATCGCCAAGAAGATTTTAAAGCAATATGCAGGGACGGAAGTAAGTTTTTCAGTTTGGTGTCAGATATAATTGTATTATATTGCTATTGATGATCACCAAATATATATTTGCACATTCATATGCGAATCAATTATATGTTTGTATAATTATAAATTCCCTTGAATCTTTTGTGATAGGGTTTTTGATGTAAATAGAGTGCCTGCTACCCTTTTTCCTTCATTAACGCCTTAAAACTTGTAACAATTGCCTGTGTACAAATGCCTGAATACCCTTTTTCCTTCACTATCCTGTGGACATGGCTATGGATTTTCTGTTATTTCCTAATTTTATTTTCCCATGCTCCCTATGACAGGTTCTTGCGTATGTTTCTCAAGTTCACAATGTTGTCCTTCCCGAAAACCTTGTTAACGATGAAACTGTGACCCTTGATCAGGTATAATGAAGTTTAATTTTTTTGACTTATTTTCTGCATATTATCAATGGTAATGATTCGTGTGTAAGGAAGTGCTGGACAGGTGTAGCAGTAATCCATCACTGTCTAGAGAACTGTTGATTATTATTTACTGCACATCATTCCCGTGTAACGTTTCTTAGTCAGCCTAGGAGCTTAAAAGACATTGAATGTTAAGCAAATCCCAAACTGCTATATTTAATTAAGTCTTGGTTGCTGATTATCTAATCAGGATCTGCTACAAGGAATGAGAATCTTTAATGAGTAATTTTTATTTGTCATATAAACTCACAGATGAGCAGTTATATGTAAGATGCTCAGCTTGGTTAAACCATATGGATGAACAGAAAGAATAGATGCAGGTCAAATTGCCGTATCAATAAATCTAACTTGGTTTTGACAATTATAACTAGAAAGTTTGCTCGAGTTGCCCAATTTTCATTCCTGTTCAGTCTTTAATTTTCTTGTCTGATATTTTTATGATTTCTTTTTTATTTTCTATTTTGTGCTGGAAACTATTAGTCCTTCTTGACATAATAAATTTCCTTATAATTCTATTTTTTCCAGATAGAGAGTAATATTGTAAGGTGCCCGAATCCCGAGTATGCGGAAAAAATGATTGCTGCTATTGATGCTGTCAGAGTGAGAGGTGACTCTGTTGGCGGTGTTGTTACCTGCATTGTTCGGAATGTCCCACGGGTAAACTCACCTTTCTTTCCCTCCCTTCCTCTCCGGCAAACTCTCTGCTCCGCACAGTTGTGATTTTCTTATTAATGCACTGCTGGATTTCTCATGGTTCATCAGTTTTAAATTTTGAAAATACCATGAAAAAAACACTGAATATCAGTTTGTGTATAGGGACTTGGTTCTCCTGTTTTTGATAAGCTTGAGGCAGAATTGGCAAAAGCTGCTATGTCACTACCTGCAACAAAGGGATTCGAGTTCGGCAGTGGATTCGCAGGTGAAAAAAGCACACCAACTTCTGATTTTTCAGTTGGAATAATTCGATAATCATTTAACTAGTTTAGGAATTTCTTGATAAGAATATTTTTCTGAAGAGACATTTGTTGAAGTTCTAATTTCTTCCGATGAAAATCAACCAGGTACATTTATGACTGGTAGTGAGCATAACGATGAATTCTATATGGATGAACAGGGACGAATTAGGACAAAGACCAACCGATCTGGTGGAATACAGGTAAAGATTCTTAAATCACAAATATAGGAGCTGTTGTTTATGATTTTCCACTGCATCAGACCTATGATTATTGATTGTATCGATTTTTAGGGTGGAATATCAAATGGAGAAACCATCAACATGAGAGTAGCTTTCAAGCCAACATCAACAATCTCTGTATGCCCTCTTTCTCTCTCCTTTGTCCTGCACGCATGTTTTTATTTGTCTGGCTGCTCAACTCTATCAAAAATATAAGAAATGGTCATTCATTAGGGGTTATGTATCAGTTTGTGTTGGTAGGAATTATACCTCAAGCAAATTTTGAGGCTGCTCTAGCTCACTTGTCATCATAACGTATCCAAATGCTCAAGCCTCATTTATTGTTTTATGCAACTGTATAACTTGTGGCTGATCTAGCTGACTTGCCATTGTTGCAATTCCAAATCCTTAAGTTTGGGTTTTCCATTCTTGGATTGGATCAAGCTGGCAGATGTGATTATGAGGCTTATTATTTCTAATTATTGAGCGATTTAGCCTTACTGCCGTGACAATATAAGCTTTTTGGATGCCAGATAAATTTGCAGAAAATATTTATGGCCTTGGTAGGTTTATTTAAGGTTTGTAAGGCTGCTCTTAGTTTGAACCGGATCCCTATCGACGAAAGAAATGAAATAATATGTAGTTCAGTATCTCTCTTTTCTCTGTGGCAAACCAGGTTCGACCACAGAGATAAGACGTTTCTGTGTAATTGCCTCATTAAACACTATTTTGAACCTTTGAACTGCCGGGATGTATCCACCTAATGATTAGCTATGTACCACGTTCTTTCAAATATGCTTATATCAAACATTTCTTATTCGTTTGCAGAGGAAGCAGAATACTGTGACTAGAGACAAACATGACACGGAACTCATAGCTCGTGGTCGCCATGATCCTTGTGTTGTTCCAAGAGGTACACCCCTGAACTATAGACATAATATTTTTTCTCGTTTTTTTATGTTGAATTGAATGGTATTTGAATTCTGAACTATGGATTCGTCTGTAAATCTGTTGCACACAATTCAATAAATCAAATAATTGGGCCACTTATATGTATGCTTTGATGGTTGCCATACAGCTGTTCCAATGGTGGAAGCAATGGTGGCACTGGTGCTTATTGACCAATTAATGGCACAATACGCGCAATGTATGCTTTTCCCGATTAATCCAGCTTTACAAGAACCTCTCGAGGTGCCTACAAACGAGCAGGCACAGGTTCCTCTTTAAGTACACATTCTCTCGACTCCCTCTCTACATTGCGGCATTTGCATTTACTTGCCTATTACGACGAATGTCTTTATCCTACAGTTGTGTGTGTTCTTGAAATTATTTACTGTTTTAGTGAAGGAGTGAAAGGCGGAATGGCTTTAAATTTCATATAAACCTAGTCTTTTTTTGGCAGAGCTTCTTGTTGTTTTTCGTCTGGCGACGTGTAATGTGTCTTTAGGTTTTATTACTGTTGTTAGCTTCTTTGTGTTCTTGAGTTGATAATTTAAATAATTCTCCCTTTGTTGTTTCAAAAGAATAAATGTATAATTGCACCTTGTATCTTGCAATTGAATTCCTATTTATTTCGTCATTTTTTTCGCCTTTCACAGTCTCGTAATTTGTCATTTTTTTATGCCCCGATGTACGTTTCCAGCAAAGAGCAGAAGAACAAACGAAATGTGATTTCTAACGAGTACGATTTATATTCGACAAACTTCAATGTAATTAGCTTGCGAGTGATTTGGACTTGGTTGGTTCGCAGTGTTCGTTTTTACCTCCCAGTGTGACGATTATCGTCTAATAAAATCCGCATTTCACCTCGAAAAAAAGTTCCGCCGTAAGAGACCATCATTGCCGTTTTTCTTCTTCCTTTATTTAAAAAAAAAATAGATAAAGATAAAGAGCTAGTAATCAAGAATTGATTAATATAAAGCCTCACATTACACTTTATAATTATGGTTGTGGTTAGATGAATACAATATAATAAAATTCATTTGGATTGACTTGAGTGCTTCAATTTAATAATAAGCTATTTTACCCTTTTCATTTTTTATTTAATTTTTTATTTTTTTGTTTGTGTCTTGTCTTTGATTTTATTAGATTAACCAAGTTGTTGTTTTGATTAAACTAAGTAAGAGTGCATAATTGGAGTGGGAAAGGGGAATTCTTTAAGCCCCACAAGTCATAATCATCATCTGGATAATTCGATATTGCATCTGGTTATTTATACTGGACGAATTTTAACCGTAGATTCATACATAATCACACGCACACACTCATATGTGTGTGTGCTTTAGTAAATAGTTATTTAATCAAATCTACAGTTGAAATCTACACAGTATAAATAATCAGGTTTAACATCTAATTTTCCATCGACAAGTATAGCTAAGTTAGGTTTGGATGGTTGTCCTAATTAGCTACTTAAACCCCACCACATATCTTAATACAATGAATAATACATTTGTGAATTATGTGTGAATAAGAGCTACCAAACAGAACTTAAGGATAAGCTTCTTTTTCTTTCTTTTTTTAGTCAAGAGAATGCTTATTAATAAAGCAGATTCCATGTTTGGGTTTATCTAAATCATGACATTATGCATGTAATGTACGATTAGAAAATTAGTTTATTTTTAGTCAAAAAAAAATAAATAAAAAAGAAAAATTAGTTTATTTTAATATATTTGTCGTATTAATCAAAAAATAATATTAAATTTATTTTGTATGAGAGTAGTATCGTGACATAAATTCTAAATGATTCTCGTTAAAAACTTAAATAATTTTAGATGAAGTGGTCATTCTCGTATTTTATCTTTGTTACCTTTTCTCAATAAAATATGGTGTCAGAGTCGTATCTTTCGTTGGGAGTGAACGTAAAAAGCCGAGAAAATAACCAAAATATTATTAAAAGTTAGAAAAATTCTAAAAAATAAAAATAAAAAGCAGTAACACTAAAAATGAAACAATATTTAGCATTTCAAAATTTGAAGTGTTTAGGCCCTCAATTTTTTTCGTATATATCGGTTTTGGCTCTTTCAAAATTTTATTTTTCTCCATACTCTTAACTCTTAAGTAAATTTATATAATTTTTTTCATATCCATCTTACTATATAAAATATTATGGTTTAAAATTCATATAATTTTAAATAAAATCAATAAATGTGTACTTTTTTGCATTTAAAAAAAATCATAAATGCCTCTAAAATAATTGGGGTAATAAGTTTTGAATCGGTTCGGGAAAAAAAAATCGTCACCTTATAAAATATTTTGGATTCGCCACTATTCATGTAGACACAAAAATATACATATTTGTAACATACAAAAGTAAACACGTCATATACACATAAGACACACATAAGTATGTGTACATGTTTGTGCGTGTGACTTGGATTATACATATAAAACAAAGGATATACAATATAACAAGCAAGTGGTTGAAAAAGGTGAACAAACAAAGTCATGAAAATCGACATAATTAAATCAATTTGAAAAAAAAAAAAAAAAGAATTGCTTACTCTAAATTATTGCATAGTAAGTAGTTAGGTGGTGTTAGCAAAAGCTTTTAGAAACAACTTTTGAGCTTTTGTAATTCAGAATATATTTTTAGGTGTTTGGAAAATTAGCTTTTGTTTTTACTTCTTTTAAAATAAACTCTTTTAAACTATTTTTTTTTTCTTGTATCTATTTTTTTCTGTTAAAGTTATTTTTCCAATGTATTAGCAATACAACTAAAACTTTTAGAGATAAGCATTTAATATTTAATCTACAGTCACTAACTTTTGCTTTTGCATAATATCTTGCAAACACAACCGTTGTATTGTTTAATATTTACACATTTTCTCATAAATGAAAATTTCCCGTGTTCGTTTTCCTCTTGTCGTGTTTGTGTTCCAGTATCGTACTATATAGGTGGACACTTAACTTAAATTTATTAATACAATAATAAACAAGTAAATAAAAAAATAATGATGAAACACAACCAATTAACTATGAACAAACAAATCACACAAAAATAGAATAAAATATTCTTGATTTCATGCTAAAATATGGAATAAGAATGAATATAAAGCTAAAGGTTGCATTTCTTTAACATAAAAATGATGAGTCATCAATGCAAATTTCCCCATTAAAATTGCATTTTCAAATAATTTTCCCATCCAAAAACATATGATATACCGTGGGGAAGTCAAACAAAACAACACCCAAAAAAAAAACAAAAATAGTAAAAAATAGGCACTAACCAAGAAATTTAAGGATACACTAATTAACACACTTTCCCCATATTTAAAAAAAAAAGAAAAAAGAAAAAGAAGAGAGAGTAACAAGTGAAAAAAGGGGATTATAATAGTTTGTTTGACCAGAATTAAGTATAGTGGCTGCCGCCGTGCCTGGCGGCTGGCCGGCAAAAGAATCCACCAAGATCCACCACTTTTTCTGTCTTTTTTACAGTTGATCAAACTCCTTTTCACACTTGTCCTAATATGAAATATCTATCTCCCCTTTCAAACTATAAAGTAAAAGCCCACCCCCCACTATATTATATTAAGTACTTCTTCCACACTTTGATTTCTCCCCTTTCCTTTTTTTTTCTTTTTTTCCTAGTTCATACATCTTTACCTGCATGAAAAAGAATAATTAATTTCACCAAATAAAAAAATATGTATATAAATTAGGATAGTTGAAGTATAAAAAGAGATTAAATAAACAAAAAATAAATGCAATTTCACCTAAAGATTTTGTGAACATTTGAAGTACAAATTTTTGCTTTAATAACTGTAATCATATTGTAACTGACAAACTCCAAAGGACAGTTATAAAGATTATATGTTGCCACTTTACCATGACAAAATTGCTAGTTTTTAGCATGTGTAGATTCATGACATTGCTTTATGTCATATATATATATATATATATATATATATATATATATATATATATATATATATATATATATGGGTAAAATTACCGTCACCAACTGAGGTAAGTTCAGATTACGTAAAAAAATCTTTACAGTTTCGGTAATTACAACAATTCCCATCAACTATTAATCTTTTCCGCGGGCATATCTCAGAAATGAGGCGACCATGATACG